TTTAGCACATTTTTTTTATTTTGATCAAATTCTCAATATAATAAGAGGTGTCAAAACGGGTTAACAGTTCAGGTTTGGGTCCGAGTAGAAATTGGCTCGACTCGAATTCAATGAACTCGAACCCGTCTGGTTTAATAAACTGGTGAAAAAAGATGACTTGAACCTAATGCAATAGCAACTAAATATCCATTCTGTCAACTAGTGGTGAAGGCAGGAATTTTTTTAGTAGGGACACAAATTATTTTTTAAAAATATTCTTTCAAAAATTTTTATCCAAACTTGAGGCCAATATTGATAGTTTAAATTTTTTTTTTTTGTTTATAATAATTATTTTAAAAAGGTCAAATATAAGATGACAAAAAAATTATAACTTATAATGCTTACTCAATATATAAAAAATAATAATTTTTTCAATATCAATACTATCAAATATATTTTTCTCAATGTAATGACTAAAATTACATTCATACACTAATGCCTACTTCTATTTTATAGCCAACCTTTTATTATAATCATAATAAAAAAATCTATTTCAACTTTTAATATCCTAATATAATTTATGATTATATAAAAATTAAACAAAAAAATTAGAAGGATAAAAGTCATAATTTAGCTATGCTGTTATTTTAATAAATAATAAATAATAATAATACTTTATTAAAAATAAAAAGTATATAAAAATATTAAAAATATTTTTATAACCTTGCTGTCATAGATTTCATATTACTTGTTAAAAAATTAGAATATGATATTAACAAATAAAAAAGTTTTGAAAAAAAAAAATTAGACATGTCATTTTCGGATAAAAATGAGTTGGCATGTCAACTCGAATATGGTCTGTTTATTAAAAGAGTTGGAATGCATGACCGACCCTATTTCGACTCATTTATTAAACGTGTTAGCTTGAACCTGAAATTTTTAGGCCTAATCTGAGCTGAATTAATTGATGACATTATTTATTTAAACTCCTAAAAATAATCATCAAGGAGGACAAATATGCAAATAAATTTTATTGTAAATAAAATAAAATTTATAGATGGCACTTGACAGTGATTTTTCCCATTTTACATTCTTTTTTATTTATAAAAAAATATCTTGTACGTGGGAGATGAAAAACCACAGAAGCTTTAATCAATTTATTTTCGAATAAAACGTCATTAGTAGCAATAAATAGGTGTCGGTCGTTAACACCGAAATGGTTTACAAATCTCAAAGAAAGCGAGCGGCTTTGGCCCTTCACAACGTCTGGCTTTTATGGGTTGCACCTAACGCAAAGCTTGTTAGAGAGCCCGCTTCGCGCTCTCTTTCTCTCTCTCTCTCTCTCTCTCTCTCTCTACTTGGTACAGTTCAGTTCTCACGCTTCGCACTCTGAGCGAGCTATGCGCCTCAGCTGATCGAGTTTGACTTGGCAGCGGAAAAGAAAGAGTAGAGAGAGAGGCAGAGTTCTTGTTCTTATTCTCTTGTATCATTCAATCTCGTTGTGGGAAAACGAAATCAGCTTGAGGAATTCGAGTATCGTTAGCTGCATTTCATCCGGTGAGTTTTCTTTATCCAGTTCTTATATTTTCTGCCCTTTAACTTTTCTGGATTGGAGTTCAGGGGTTCGCCATTGCAGATTCGTTTCTTTCTTTTTACACTGTTCGCTTTACTGATTCGATCGGTTTTGAATATGGTTTTCACTGGATCATTTGAGTTTTTATCATTTGGAGGACTCATGGATTTTGCTTTCCTTTCGTTCCTTGGTTTGAGATTTAAAGTTGTCTTCTCCAGCATCCATGATTGGACTATTCAAAATCGTCGTAATTTGGAAGTGGTCGATTTGTTTTGATTAGTTCTTTATTTGTTGTTTTTGTTTATGTGAGAAGGTTATGGGACTCTCGAACTGTTTGTTTTGCCGAAGTTTTTTTATTGCTGAAACCATTAATGCTAACTTGCCAACTGACATGCTTTTGCTCCTGCGGATAAATTTGATTTTCTTATGGGAAATTCAGTTTTTTACTGTCATTAAATGTGGTTGAAACAGTGCTGGCGTCTAGGTTTCTGAGAGTGACATGTCTCTTGTTTTTTCCTCAACTTGATTAAATATTTGGGGTGATTAGACTTAGCTGGCCGCGTCGTATGTCTTCTGTTCTATATGAGTACAGTATTAGTTCGGACTGGAAAATGCATACTCTTCTACTATTGTTTATTAAAACTTTCTCATCCAGATTTTTTAGGATAGACCTTGCTCATTGAAACTGTCTTCTTCATTGTTTTAGTCATTTAAATCTTTGTGTTTTATAATTACAGACCCAAACTTTTTGTTGACTTGCCTATATGCCTGATTTGCAGCTCTGGATTAAATTTTTTTTTTTTTTGGGAAATATGGCTTAAGAAAATTTCTTCTATGAACGATTCGGTTGAGCTTGAATTACTCTAATATATCTGTCTTGAATGAAAGTCAACGTCAGAGTAAGAAGGTGCTATTTTTTTTTTTTATCTTAAGACAACTAAGGTTCCCACTGCCAAGAAGTATATTGAGGAATAAAATTTGCTCAGCACATTGAAAAAAAAAATGCTTGGAACTCTCATGAATTCTCGCGCAGGAAATGAAATTTTTTAATTTTTTTAATTTTTTGTTTCTGTTTTTGTTTCGTAATCTCATATCTGTGAGTTTGCTGAGCATTTTTATTTTGTGGAGAAGATAGCTTGAGCTTTTTGTTTTTTTTGTTTTTAAAATGTGGGCGACATTGGCCATCAATAAAAGGATGTGACAACGAAGCCAAAATACATGAAGAGGAAGTGTCACTAGAATCCAGAATGTTGTGCAATAAAAGAAAATAAAAGGTGAACAACCAAAAGGAGGGTACATATGAGAGGAGAGAGGATCGGATCCGCAAACAAACATAGAAGCCACAATTGTGACATACAAAGTTGGAGCATTATAAAAGTAGAAGAAAAATAACCCCCAAGAGATTAACTTGCATTCAGCATTCAAGCTGCCAAATTCTCAAAAAAACCTAGATTTGAAATGGTATGTATGGAAAAAAAGAGAAAAAAAAAGAGTGATCAATTTGCTTTGTCTTCAAGTGCCAAGAATCTCTTCTTATAACTACTAAATCTCTCTTGATTTTCTAGAAGCAAGAAGAGGCACAAGATTTGAGGTTATCAATTTTGAGGGCACTCATTCCAAAATCCTTTAAAGTAGCAATCACAAGAATGGATTTTCGTCAAGTGCGATTTCTTAGACATTATATCCTCTATGGAATCCAGTGTGTATGAAATCTGAGGACATACATATGTCTTATTGCAATTTTGCTCAAATCTCCATTAGGCCAAATAAGGATTAAATATATCCTGTTCAATATATCTCATAAGTGATGTTGCCATATGGATTGAACCAAATTAAGCCATATATAACATTTCTATCATTTTACTTAATATTGCGGCAAATATGGGTCTCCTTTGTCTGATCCTGTTGGAGCCGAGCACTACGAGCTTCCAAATATTTGAATGGCTTGCACTGCTCAATAAACTTATTTGTCTTAATTGTCGAGTAATTAAAGTAAAAACCTTTTAATGATATCTATAGCAAAAATGTTGCACATTAAAGTAGTAACTACAAAATTTGAATCCACACACCCGCCACTTGATCTTCGTACCCTTGAAATGGTCATCTCCTTGCCTTGATTGATTCAAGGTTATGACTTGAATCTAAGATAAACTAGTGCACTTTGTGGAAAATATTGAAATTGCTCTCAACTCAATTGTCCACATCGTGACTCCAACCTAGGCGGCTTTTGGCCTCTATGTTAGTCCCAATTGTTCCATCTACCACTGGTTTGTATTAAGTAAGTTGCAACCAACCCTTTTTCTTTTTCTCTTCCTTTTTCTCAGTTCCACCTCATTGATTCATTCACAATTTAAACTTTTTGAGTTTTGTGTACTTATTCTTATTTGAAAGTATTTCTTGCTTTACAAAATAATTTTTTTCCTGCATTAATATATATTGTGCTATACTTTGTCTTTAATATTAAATAGAATTTTATCAAACAGGCTTAAATTGTTTAAGGAGAGCTTAGTGCCATTATTATTGTTTGCTATAAATGTTATTAAAAAGGCCATATATAGAGCTAGTACACTACCAAAATTCTATTTTTAGAGGAAATGATGTTCATTGAATGTGGGCTCTGAAAATTCGAGCCCTGGCCTCCCCTGCTTTTGGGGGAGTTTTAATGGATTAAGTTCCGAATTAAAATTTTAAAAGACAGATTGAGTTTGTAGATAAGACACTACCCAGAGATTTCGCCCTCATTTTGCAAGGACTTTATGATCTGTGTTCTTCTTTCTTATAGGCGCAAGCCCCTATATTTAATTACCCCTACCAATAACGAGAGATAACTTTTGATTAAGGCTAATAGTCAATTAGATATATAGAAATACATGGTATATGACATATAGTAGCATCATGGGTTTTTGTTTTGGAAATTTGATATTTAAAATATAAATTTCACCATCTTGCACTTACAGCGGATCGTAGGGGAATGGATGATGGACCCGATCAATATCCCATGATTCTGCATCCTGGGTCATCATGGTCCCTGGTTTACTTAGTTAGAGGAGGTAATCGACTTAACATGACAGAAGGATCCTTGTCGGCAGCCATGAGTTGCGTCGTCCAAGGGGACCTTGTAGACCTGTGGTAGCTGTTTGTCTTAGAGGAAAAATTTAAATCCACCTTAGGTGACAGAGAGTTTTGTGCCCTATTGATGATATCTTATTAATTTATATCTCAAGGATTTAGTGTCATTGGGGAGCATATGAGTTTTGGTCATGACTGTACTTTAGTGGTGGAATTTGGAGGCAAACCAGGTTCAAAAGGCCCTGGATATAACCGTTTGCCTGCGGTGTCATTTGATGAAAAAATCACTGGTTAGAGGACATGTGCCACGTCCTTGCTTGCAAGAGACTGTTTGAGAATGAATCCTAGTGATATTCTCGACCAGACATTAGCTCTTTGTGAGTTAAAATGTATTTTCAAATTTGTCCACCTCAGCAAACAGTTGCGGAGAATGGATGAGTTTTGCTTTAAGTGGTTGATGATTGATTTCAATTTTAAATATTTTGAATTTTTAGAATTTTGAGCTTTCGTGGGTATTTGGGAAGCATTTTGAAATATTTGTGAATTAACCCTTCAGGTTAAGATCTATGTTCAACACGGCCATCATCGGGGTACATTTATGAGTAATTTTATTTGTGGATTAAACCTTGTCGACTCTGTCAACTTGCCAACAAAAGATCAGGTTCATTGTCGACTTTATGTTTTTATTGGTGAGTTTTCATTGTTCATAGGCCTTGAAGGTCTAATATGAATGCATAAAATAAATATCTCGGCTAACACTGCAACCCGTACATTTGTTTGATAGCTTGAGCCATGTCAACTCTCATCTGCTTAAGTGAGAAGAACGGGCTTAAACTTAAGTTTATTGTTTGACCCGCGCAACATCCTTAGACGTCACATGTGTACCCATAACACACTCGCCTAAGCCCATATAGGTATTTAGGGGGTATTTTTGTAATTATTTATTGAACTTTGTCAATTATGTGTATCTGTGATGTAGACACACAAGAAGAAACAGACGCAATGGATATAACTTAAAACAAACTTTATTAAAATAAAAGCAGACAACTAAAACTTGACAAACACAACTAGAAAACTAGGAGATTTTAAAGAAATAAAAAAAAAAACGCTATCCTCAGACAACCGTCAGAGCGGGTTCCTCACATGCATCGAATAGTAGATTAAATAAGAGAAGTGCATAAGACTAGCAAATCGATGGTCCACCACTGCAAGACTGTCCAAATGCTTCTGAATCAACTAAGACACGACACCCTAAAGTTGCTTTACTGTTGAGAAGAAGGATACAGATGGAGTGGCACTTGCGGAGAGACGAAGAGGTTAGAAGCCCGAGAAGAAAGGGTGGAAAGAGCCCGCAGGATTTCCAGAGGGGATGAGAAAAGAAGGGTGGAAAGAGCCCGCAAGATTTCCGAATAAACCCGCAGGTTAATAGCAAATATGCTCACAAATATCAACTGATTTCTTTCTCAATCTTCATCTTATATTTATAGGCATAAAACAGGAATGCCAAAAGCCACCTGAGATAATGCTCACAACATCCCAAGCATTTATTTTTCATAGGATTTCCAAGAGCCATTTTGGAAAAACAGCCCAGCATTTCACGGAACCAAGGAGCCAGCAGCAGGCCGAGAATTCAAAGCAGCACATCCACGGGAAAAACATCCCAGTTCTAAAAATCAGAGGCCGGTTGGACTCCCAAGGGAAAAAGCACTTTTTTATAAATTCTAATGCTTTGAATTCAGCCACCAATAAAGAGCAAGCCACGGTTCTCTAAGAGACAAGAAGAAAAGGGGAAGGGGAAGGGACAAGGCCACTCCAAAAGTAAATCTTCTTAATGAGGTACCTTTTTGGAATTAATGAGCTACTAAACTCCAGCTTCAAGCAACTAAAAGAACAAGCTCAATGCCATGTGCTCCAA